TTCTCCATTCTCTTTCGTATCCCGTTCATATTGGCATGCATTATAGATGCGATTCTACTCGCTTCCCCGTGGTGTGCCACGGGTAAACAGCTGCTACTAAAATCATTTGTGAGTGGTTGATCCACTCCATTGCTTTGTCTGAGAGTTGTTGGACTGCAGAATCATCCGTCCACACCGCCTTCAGGTTATTATTTCTGGCTACGCGACGTTCTACGTTCCGTAGGGTTTGTGGTTCGTAGCCGCAGTCGTATAGCGTGTAATTTCTACACTGCGAGGGATCACTAATCATTGTGAAGCCAGTAGCAATGTAGCGCCAGAGTAGTGTGCAAGCAATGCAGGTATTGGTGCGTATCGCTGTTGTTTCTGGTGACTCGGTCTGATTGAGGGTACTGTTGCCTTAAATTTCGATTTAAAACTTTCGTGGCTGCAGGGATTCATCTTCTTGGTTCTTTCGGTAAAGTCACGTAGAAAGGAAATAATAAAATAATAAAAATAAAACATCATAAAATAATTATCACGACGTTTCGGCCACAACGCAAGCAGCCATCCTCAGATGAAGAATGAAACACCACCAAGCTTGGAGCGTATATTTAAGCTGGGTTGGAGGGGGAAGAAGAGCGCCTTGACAAAAGAATTGCATATCAAGAGGAATTTAGCATATTTATGGGAAATGCGTAGGAGGTGGGCGGGGGGTTTCAAAGTCATATTATGCCCGTGCATTATGCAGGATTAGCAGCATCAAAGGAAGGGGATGGGGGTAGCATTAACAAAGGAAAGAATGTTAATAGTATGTAGCTGCAGTTACTAACAACCATGTAAAACACTAAAGTATAAACTACATAGTATTTAGTATACTGATGATACTATGTAGTTTATGGACGTGTTGGAGGTACACTTGTGCAGTATAACAACACCCCGGTCTCACGATGTCGCTGCTGCCCTTGAGTGAGCCGCAGAATCTCCATCAGAATTCTAGATTTGAAGCTTTCGTGACTGCAAGGATTCATACTCTTAGGTTTTTTCGGTAAAGTCACGTAGGTAAAAATAAAATAAATAATAAAAATAAATAATAGAAATAAATAATACAGTAAATCTAGCTGTGACGGTCCCACCTGATGACGGAGACTTGTGTTGCCTCCGAAACGTCGTGATTTATTATTTTATTTCTATTATTATTTCTATTATGATTATTATTTATTCCCATAATAAATTTTATTATTTATTTATTTCCCCCTATGTGACTTTACCGAAAAAACCTAAGAGTATGATCTCCATCAGAAGTTGCCTTCGATTCAGCAGCTGCTTTCCCATTCTAACGTGCTGTGACACGAGTCACCGTCTTTTGCTGCCACCGTCCGTCAAGAAATGATTCCGGAAATGAATCGAGGAACCGTCCGACCAAGTCTCAGGGTACGAGGAGTCAAATCTGCCTTTGGAACAGGGAGCAGCCAATCGCCATCAGGCTGGGTGCTGCTATACGGCAACAGACCGTGAAGCTTCGTGTTCAGCCGCTCATAACATTCGTTACCGACTGCTTCGACACCACGAGAACTGATTTAAACGGAGTTGGGAATCGCGAGAAAATAAATAATTAACGTGGTATATTTGCTCTTTTTACACCACCACTCGGTTTAAATGCAGAGCAGCAGCAGCATCCGAGATGCTGTCCTCGTCTCAGAAGCAAATGCTGACAAACTCAGACGTGTGTATTGCAAGTTGTGTTGTTGATATTGTCAATCCCCCCTCAATGTGAACCCTGCAGCAACAATAATAATAATACAGAGGCAACGCACAGCCGTTCATTACGTGGAGTCTGTTTCTTTAATCCATCCTGTGCAATGTTATACAGAACATGCATACATCTTTTCTAGATTTAAAGCTTTCGTGACTGCAAGGATTCATATTCTTAGGTTTTTTCGGTAAAGTCACGTAGGTAAAAAAATAAAATTAATAAAAGTAAAATAAAAATCACGACGTTTCGGAGGCAACACAAGCTGCCGTCTTCAGGTGGAACCGTCACAGCACGATAGCTGTATCAAGTGAGAGAAATTCCAAGAAAACAGTCCTTGTATATATACTGGTTGAGGGTGAGAGGAGCCAAGGTAGGCCCCTGGATATTATTTTTGTGAGGTTCGGTGCGGCTGAAGCACACTGTTAGGAATGAGCCTTTGTTGTGTAAGCTAGGTGCGGATGATGTAAAGGTGCGTGTAAAAGGGACTGAGCTCTTTTGTTATATAGAGGTGATGCGGCTGAAATCGCTGCCAGGAAATGAGTCTTTGTTGTGTAGAATGGTTGACTTAGCCTATTGTTATGTAGAGGTGGTGCGGCTGAAATCGCTGCCAGGAAATGAGTATTTGTTGTGTAGAATGGTTGACTGAGCCCATTGTTATGTAGAGGTGGTGCTGCTGAAATCCGTGATATAATTCCATCTGTGAAATATGTCATTCCTGACTTACAATACCATGGAGTCTACAAACTGAGTTGCAGTTGTGGTGATTGCTACATTGGAGAAACGAAACGTCATATCTCTGTGAATTTTTCTTCGGGTCCTCCAGATTTTTACCTTCAACATTTAGAAACACGCGTTTCAGATAAGGGGCCGTCCATAAATGACGCCACGCGATTTTGGACGATTTTTGCCCCCCCCCCCCCCATCGTCATACGGCATCACAAAAGGTCAGACCCCCCCTCAAATATGACGTCACAAAGCTCTGCCTCCCCCCTAATAAAAAATAAAACATGCTTCAAATCGCTTTAAACTATTGTCCTTGTAGTGCGTATTTAATGTGGCGCTGCACTCTGATGTTGTTGGAGAAAACATTTATTAAAAAGTCTATTTAATTCAGTAGAACGTGTTGTCTATATTTATTTAAAGTTGCGCATATGATGTGACGTTACCCTCCCCCCTCGTCACACATCGTCACAAATGTCTGACCCCCACCCCCCTAGGTGCGTGACGTCATTTATGGACGGCCCCTAAGCCACTTCGTTGAGCTGTCATTTGTGGCCAGGTCGCTTCTGCAAAAAACAGCTACATAACTCAGTGGTGGGTCTTACCTGGTTCAGCATCTAAAATCGTTTTCTTTTTTTTTGTTTTAAAACACTGCATGGGGCGGGGGTGGGGCAGCATTATCCACTACTTGGCTGCGCCTGCCATCTCGTGGCCACCGCGTGGCCCGGCACGTGGGGGCGCCTCGAGTCGCCTGCCCGGACCTCCGCACGCTCCGCGTCTCGCCACCCGAGCCACCTCCGTGTTGAGGCAGGGAGCTTTCCGTGCACGTCCACAAGCAATACCGCGTTTATTCTAGATTTGAAGCTTTCGTGACTGCAATGATTCATATTCTTAGGTTTTTTCGGTAAAGTCACGTAGGTAAAACATCAAAATTAATTAAAATAAAATAAAATAAAGATCACGACGTTTCGGAGGCAACACAATTCTCCGTCATCAGGTGGGACCGTCACAGCCAGATTAGCTGCATCAAGTGAGGCAATGATTCAAGATGTAATCCCTCAACTCGCTTTTAAGGGATTACATCTTGAATCATTGCCTCACTTGATGCAGCTAATCTGGCTGTGACGGTCCCACCTGATGACGGAGACTTGTGTTGCCTCCGAAACGTCGTGATCTTTATTTTATTTTATTAATTTCTATGTTTTACCTACGTGACTTTACCGAAAAAACCTAACAATATAATACCGCGTTTATTTATACGAGTCCTGAGACTCCGCGATGCTTTCCTGGGTTAAAATTAAGAACAAATAAAAAGAGGCTCCGATGGTGCTGGACCGGAAGGAAATCCCTCAACGGTGCCGCGTGGCCACACGGGGGCGTCGCCTGCCGGTCACTCCACGTTACCGCCGCGTCCAAGCGCGATCGATTGCCTTTCCCTTTGCAACTCGAAATAACGCCTCTGTGTGTGTCGCGATAGAGTGCACCGCCTTCACTTACACACACACACACGCGCGCACACATTGTATTCCTGGGAAGGTTTTTTTTTGCTGTAATGTGGCCTTTGGCCGAACACTGTTCACTCTCGTAAAGCGATCCCGAGTGTGTTGTTGTGATGCAGAACAATGAATAGACGCCTCTTATTGTCGGCAAAGAGCTCAACAAAGAAGCGCAGCTGCGATAGTAAGGGTGCAAGGGCCACCATCCCGTGCAAGCCGACCGTAAATCCATAACCGTCACCCCTCTGGAACGACGGCACCACGAGGGTCCAATTGTTGTTTAAATTAATTTGTCCTTGACAGTAATATGGAATTTCCACTTCTGGCCATAGTGAATGGTCCTCAAAATGTGGGCGCAATCTACTAATGCAACAAACTAATAGAGTTAAATCGGTCGCAAATGTTTTACTGTATTTAACATTTCTGGAATATTACCATCACCGTAATACCTGCACCGTAGCCTTGAATGCGTGAGCGTGTGCGCTGAGCGAACGCCTCGAGTTTAACCCGGGAGCCGGAGCCGGTCAACACCTCGGGTCTCCCATGCAGAAGGCTAACGGTCTCGGTGGTTTTTCGCCGAGTGATGGATAATGCTGCTTGCTGGCCCGCAAACTCCTCCCTCCCCTCTGTACAGCGGTAGCTGTTTCACAACAGTGCAGGGATTGACAAAGCGGCTTCTTCATGCTTAGCGATCGGCAACCTGCGACTCCAGAGCCGCATGCCGATTTTAAAGGACTGCAGTGCGGCTCTTGAAATTCGAAAAAAAAGTCTGCTTGTTATTTTGGTTGCCGATCCCTGACCATAGAAGACCAGCTCACCACGGGCAGGGGTTAGCAACCTGCGGATCTGGAGCTGCATGCGACTCATTAAGGACTGCTTCGATTTAAAGCTTTCGTGACTGCAGGGATTCATCTTCTTGTTTCTTTCGGTAAAGTCACGTAGAAGGGAAGTAATAAAATAATAGAAATAAAACATAATAAAACAATTCTCACAATTGTTTTGTGAGAATTGTTTTATTATGTTTTATTTCTATTATTTTATTACTTCCCTTCTACGTGACTTTACCGAAAGAAACAAGAAGAAGGACTGCTTCGTGATGTTAAGGCTCTTGAGACATTGGGGGGAGGGGGGGGGGGTTACCGAATAAAAAAATGGCTGTTGTTTTGTTTGCCAACCGCTGCTCATGCTGCACTGTCACACGCACAGGGCTCGACATCGGAACGTGGGAGCGCAGCGTCTCACCGTGCCCCGCCAGCGCCACGGGTAGGAGCTGGTGATGACCTCTTGAGGCGGCGAGAGGTCAGCTAGAGATCGAGGTCGCCCCCTCTAGGGTCCAAATGAATCGTGGTGATAGCCGTGGTTCACGCCTTGGAACGTGGAGTTGCCGCCACGGGCTCACGACTTTTGCCAGTAAGATATGTTGGGGGGGAGGGTCAACATTGAGATGTAACCAACACACATGAGCCAGGTCGGGCTCGGGTAGCTACACAGCCCGAGAGCACGTGTCCTCGATGTATCTCATCGTGTTTGAGGAACGTTCGTCTTTACTCGGAGCAGGGGGTGGGGGGTCTCTAACAACCTCGCCTCGCATCCCCTCCCCCCATCACGGACCCAGCGCCCGCCGCATGCTTCCCCGGCCATCAGCTGCACGAAAGCGACACTCCGCTCGCAGTTTAGTTGCTGTGTGCAGTCGACGATGGTGACACGCCACCAGAGGCGTAGCTAGGATATTTTGCGCCCGGGGACGAACTATAAAATTGGCGCCCCCCCCCCCCCGTTTAATCACATTTTCCTATGAGACGATCTTGTCCCATTGAAGCACGCAAATACGACAAAATAAGTTTCAATTTGCTGAATGACCGCTCACAGCTTGCAATTGAAACTGCTATTGTTAATACAATTTGCAGTGAAATTCGCAAATTCGGAAATATGTCGTCTCCATAAAACACAATAAAACAAAGAAGATCCAAAGGAGTTTCTGGTAGAACTTCATTCCGGTTACTGAGCAGAATTTTGCAATCTCCAATTTCTGTGAAAAGTTCGTGGCCATTGATGTCGGTGTCATAGAAATTTCCAAAATCTGTGCAATTTCGACGAATTGCATCGACATCCGTGTCGGATAGAAGAGTTTTGACGTCCAGCAGAAATCCAAATGTTGTGTTCAGGTCTTTTAGTCGTAAAAACCGTGTTGACATCTCCTGTTGAAGTCGATAAAATACGCTCTTCATAACGCGCACAATTTCTTCTTCTGCTGAAAGTCCTGCATCTCTTGCCAGTTCTCCTGGCATCTTCCGACGTCGCCTAATTCTTCTGTCCACATCGATCCCCCAGGCTGTGCATCTTGTTTTGGCGTTTTCTACAGCAACTTGGCTCAAATCATCACGAAGCTTGACAAATTCATGCTACAAATATTCAAGATCAGTTGCTGCTTCCTTGAAATTCATAGTAGGATCCTGTAAGCGCTTCTGAACACGATCAATTTTTCCAAGAATGACATTCCAGAAATGTAATAAAACTATGAAGTTATAGTTACGTTCTCCGATAATTTGTCTAGCAGCCCTACTAGTTCATCCAGTCCTTCATAGATAGCTTTAACAACTTCTGATCGTGCACTCCAGCGTGTTTCAGACTCCCGCTTTACTGTGATGGGCACAGCTTTTTTTAACTCTTCCCAACGAATTGTTGAACGAGAGAAAAACAAATATATACTTTCAACTGTTCCAAAAAATGTGAGAAGTGGATCCTGTTTAGCTGAGTGTACTCCTGCTAAGTTTAAGCTGTGGTTGTCACAGTTGACAAACAATGCTCTGTGATTTTTGTTGTTTGGGACGTTCTTCCATGTAAGTTCTTAATAGGCGCGAGTACCAAAATAAAATTACATGACATGTAGGCTGTGTGGCGGGATATATAAACTTTTAGGTTGAGGTGTAGATTTGTGCAGTAGTTTCAGGCTGCCGCGCCCGCCGCAATAAGTTATGTAACGCTGTAAGCCTCATTTTGGCGCCCCTTTACCTTGGCGCCCGGGGACATATGTACCCCCCTGCCCCCCCCCCTAGCTACGCCTCTGGACGCCACCTCTGGGGTTTCATTTGCCAGCCTCTGTTCCGGGGGTTCGTCTGTGCAGGGCGAGCGAGACACCACCGCGGCTCTCGCTACTTCGCAGCAGTAGCAGCAGCAGCAACATCAGAGAGGATCACGAGGTGCGGTTGAGGAGAGGAGCTCCCGAATGGAACATCAGGAAATGCAGCCAACGCTAATTTTCCAACATGCCTGGTGCCCGTGTGCACGGGGCGCAGCGAGAGACATGGACCATCACCGGACACTCTCACTTCACTCATAGCGCGCCACCTTACCGGCATGATCGACCACGTACCAGTTTGTTAACGTGTTAGTATTACAGCACTTTCATTCACATGGAAGTTGGAAAAGTATCCAAGAGTAAAATGATGAAATTAGGACATCGGGGGCGTGGGAGAATGCGAGAGCAGTGGAAGCAGCCAGTGCACAGTAGGGCCCTCCTCATACTGCAGGGCTCTCCTCATACTGCAGGGCCCTCCTCATACTGCAGGGCCCTCCTCATACTGCAGGGCCCTCCTCATACTGCAGGGCTTTCCTCATCACAGTTCCTATGATCACTGTTACATTGTTTTTATAGCCTTATTTTGAAAACGTTTTGATTTAGCCATGTTTGTTTGTTGTAGTGCAGAGTTAGCCTGATAACTTTAATCTACATTGTCTTATGGTTGTTATTGTTTGACTTGCATCCCACTGGGATTTTTGCACACAGCGTTGAAATACGGTGTTTTTTTCTGGAAGACTTTGCTGTTTTTTCCTGGATTTTTCTGTTGCGTGTAGTCACTTTAAGATGTTTATTGTTTATGTTTTTGTTTTGTTGCGGTTGCACCCGAGTCAAGAGCCACATGGCTCACAGTGTTTACCTAATAAATGAAACTGAAAAACAGCAGGCCCATACCTCATCCGGCAGGGCCCCTCCTCATCCGGCAGGGCCCTCCTCAGCATGCAGGGCCCTCCTCATTCTGCAGTGCTACCCCATCCTGCAGGGCTCCCATCATCCTGCAGGACTCTCATCATCCTGCAAGGCGTCTCTCATTCTGCAGGGGTGTCATCCTGCAGTGCTCCTCTCATCCTGCAGCTAAATCTAGGCGGTAGTGGCTATGTACATGGCCTGTAAACCAGCACTGCGATATTTCCTTCCCATGAGTCGACGTGCCAGAAGATGGTACAGCAAGTGACGAATCGTCATCCATTTCCATCTGTACGGGGATAGTGTTGCCCCCTTGCGCGAGTGGGTTTTCTCCGGGTGCTCCGGTTTCTTACCACTTGTGTAGTGACATATAATGGGTCACTACGGCGCCTAGCGCCATCTACCGACAAAGAGAGGAATGGCGTGTGAGGTAGCCCTCTCTGCCAGCAGAAGACACGATGTCATGGAAGAGGTCGCTAGGGGGCATGGTCCTGGTGGCTGGCAGAGAGGGGGCATCTGAGGATGTAGCAGCCCGGTTGGCTGGCAAGGGCACGTGATAGGACAGGGTAAGGATGTGAGACAAAGGTGACAGAAGGGACACGTGGTGTATGGCTCAGAATCTTCAGGGAAGTTCCAGAAGGAGCAGCGATACCGCTCATGAATGGCGACTCTGCCGGCTTGGCAGGGTGGTCCGAGAAGGAGGCGCTGCGGGCGCGACCTGCCGCCCTAGACGAAGGCACCCTTGCAGCGTTTCTCTCCATCCTGCCGCTGGAGAGATCCAGCCTTATGCAGGCCTTCGACCAGCTGGTGTCCATCTACGAGCCTCCGTCGGTCGCGCACCACAAAGTTGCCAAGTGCGTCCGAGCCCAGCAACTTTTGCATCGGGACAGGGCGCTGGTGACTTGGAGCCAGGGCCACCGCATAGAGCGGGGCCCCTTACGGAAGGCGCGTCGACTCGGAGTGGTGGCGACCGGGGTGGCGGTGGCATGTGGCGGACGGACAAGCGGGGGTGGTTGACATCATCTTCTCGTTCCAGAGGCGGCCGTGTTACCTGCTACCCATGCGGTCTATCGGGCCACGTGGCTTCGGGCTGCCGCGTCCGACGTCGGCGCCTTCTGGCATCACCGCCACCCTGCTCTTCTCTACGCCCTGAGGCAAGTCGCAACACACTCCAAACTCGACCCCTGGCCTCACTTCACCCATCTCAGCAATTTGGTTCACGGCCCAATCGCGCGTCGGTACGGGAAAGTCCTACGCGTAATCACGAGGTGCGTCAGTTCCGACCGGGGCAGTGGTCGGAGCTGGCCCATCGAGTAGTGGCTGCGACCGAGGGTTCGTCTACAGTGCTATCGAGGCTGTGGAATAAGGATGCTGATCGACACGGGCGCATCAGCAACTACCATTTCAGTCCTGATTTTTTACATTCTGCCCCCTAAGTGTCGGGTTCTCGACCTTGTCGATGCGCCATGTGTCGCTGCTGACAGCGTCTCATTGGGTATCATCGGTCGGATCACGTCCGAGGTACGCATCGCTGATGTTAGCTTTTCGGGACACAAATTTTTGTCTCTACATCCCTGACTGTTCCATGTTTACTTGGAACCGATTCCCTTGGTAGGATGCCAATGGAAATCTGTATTGACCGTGGCTGTTTGTAATTGCCATCCGGACGCCGTGTGGCATTTTTGCTTTCCCCTACCCGGTTGTGTACGGCTAATGCTACGGTGCAGGTGGTATCATGCGGCTTCGGCACGTCCAGTAGGAAGCGGTCGGGAATGCAGGTGCTGAACCTTGCACGCGATGATCCCGGGATGTGGATAATTGCTGTGCTGTCTGCCCCTCTTGCCTTGAACCGGTTATCGCGCCGTGCGAATTCATCTCATCTCCATATCGCTGGGGCCGAGTGTTGAGTGCGTCCGGCGACCTGGGGCGGGTGGCTGCTACGGTTGCTCCTGGGCGAGGCGATTCTGTTCCGCCCACGGCCGCTGTGCACCTGGCATCCCCTGACCAGCCGCGCATGCTGGTTTCGCGGGCTTCGAGAGCGGTGGATTGGTCGGCCCGGCCTGCTGCTCTTCATGAGGAGCCGGGTTCGGCAGGACATTAGCACATTCCCTACGGGTCCTCCAGAGTGAACGAGCCCACCTCCTCTGGGGTGGGCGGCATCACGGACTCGCTCTAAGACTCGTTTTCGTGATCCTCTTGCACACACGCTCCCACGCTGTCGCTTGCCTGTCGTGCTCGCTGAGTCGAGGTGGTCATTGGCTGAACCTGGCAGCCATTAATTCTCGCGAGTGTTGTTACACGGTGAAGGTGTGGGGTGCGATGGCATGGGGGATCCCATGGGTTACGCGTTTTTTTCTAATATTGTTGGAATGGTGTTGTTTTCGTGATTCCCTTGCACACACGCTCCCACGCTGTCTGTCGGTTGCTTGTCGCACTCGCCGAGTCGCGGCGGTTATTGGTTGATCCTTGTCGTCATTGAGCTCGCGTCCATTGTTATACGATGAAGGTGGGAGGTGTGATGTAATGGGGGATCCCGTGGGTTATGCGGTTATTTTATATTGTTGTTGAGATGGTGTGGTTATTATGGGTTTGTTGGTTGCCACACTTCTCCATGTTGGTTTGTACATTTGTATATAGTATTGGAGTATTTATTTCTGTTCTTGTTATTGTTGAGGCACACAGTGTTTTTTTTCCGCGTTGCATTTCACTTATTGTTCGTTTAAAGGGGGAGTTGACAGCCGGGACGGCTGGATGCTACGAAAGGGGGGGGACGGGGTGTGATGTAGTGACATCGGGAATGTCACTGTATGGTGCCGGCCCGGAAGAGCCATGCCGTTTGATGTTCCTACATCGTGGGCACCACCGTGTGGGTGGCTGTGTGTAATACCAGCCCTTGTGGGGCTTGAAGGGCACTGGGATAGTGCGGACACCATGCACAGCGTGTGGTGGAGGATCCCACGAGGGGGAGTAGGTGAGCATCAGCCCAGGAGCAGAGTTGCCCCGGGCCATGGCACTCGAGTTGACCCTGTAGACACGTGATCCGGAGAGTCCACACAAGGGCCCCAGGTGGGGGGGCAAGTGGGTGATCACGTGTCCGGGGAGAGCTCTCGAGAAGGATCAAGAGAGAACGAGAATGCTCGAGGTGGGCGGGGCCGAGGGTGGAGCGCCCGGGGTCGCTGCATGCTACAAGCTAGAAGCTCAACATCTGGAAGCGGGAAGCTCTACGTCTCAAGCTGAAGCTCTTCGTCCTACGACTCAGTTGGACTCACTCCACTTGTATAAACACTCATTCATTGCCTGCATACATTTAAAAATATAAAGCTAGTTCAGGACCCTCCTGAAGTATTATAATGTTGTAGCCCTCCTGGATAAATAAATACAAATTAAAGCAACCGGGTATATATTACTGAGGTCTTCATCCAGCAGTGGATAGAAAATGATGCGTTAAATCATACGTGTCCTCAAATCAAATTTAAATGCATTTAAATACGAAACGGCGAATGTTACTTCTAAAAATATCTCAATAGATCAAAACCAGCAATCGCTCATATAGCTCTCACCTGCTCCCCTCAGAGTTCTGGCTCTTACGCCCAAACGCACGCAACTTAATCGCCTGCAACTGCTTTGCCCACAAATAAGCAAGCGGTTGAGCAAAAAGGCCATGCTTGGGCGTGGCTAAAGCATCTAGCCTCGGCCCTCACAGCATATCCCTGCACTCTTCCCCGGTTAGCGCCTCCCCACGGCAGGGTGGTAGCGACCGTCATGTGCAACACGCAATGATGAACTCTGTTGCTCCCAACGGCCGAGCAGTCCGACGCCGACAAGCCGAGTCCATCTCCTGTGAAACTAACAGATCCCAACTGGGCACACGTGTCGATCAGTTGCACAACCAAGCAGTGCAACCGTCGATTGCTCGGGCATGGAGTATCACAGCTCTGCCACTATATTGCTTGAGCAGCAGTCACACTCGTCGAGACTGTCGAAAGCGCTCCTTTCAAGAGCATCGCCTCATTATAGGCTGCTGGCTCCAACTCGACAGAGTTACCACGGCATCTCAATGCCGGCTCGGACGCACGCTGGGCAAGGCGAGCGACGTGGAGAGGGGGAGGAGGAGCGGGCTCCTCCAGCGGAGTGCAACGCTTCTCTGGGGCTACGGGGCGTGACGAGAGGAGCTGGCTTACTTCGGTCCCAGCGATCGTCGGCCTCAAGGCCTTGGTGCCACACTCTGCCGGCACCGAGCACCATGTACAGGGACCACTGTGTCTGTCTGTTCACATCTGTATGGGCAGGGGCTGGCAATTAAAATAACAAGAGCCGTTTTTTTTCGAATTTGGTAAAAATATATATTTGAAGAGCCGCAATGCATGTGAATATGGTCACGAGACAGTCCTTAAAGAGCCGCATGCGGTTGCCGATCCCTAGTCATGGGAGTGCATGGCCAATGGGGTGAGGTACAGACTGAATGTGGAATGTGGTTTCACGACGGAAGATATAATTCTCCTGTGAAAAGCCAAGAGACTGGGCACCGCTTTAGTCAGGGCTCTTAGTGGGCGGAAGTGGTAAATGCCGATTACCTGAATAAAAAACCCAGTCATTAAAATTCTAATAAATTCTACAAAATAGGATAACTTATAGAGTAAAATGCATAAAAATAAGAATTTACTATGAAAAAGACCGCGATTGATAATTACAGACCGAGCCCGACTGTTGCGAGTTGCACCGTTGCCCTCGACACAAGGGAGCGATGGTGCCATCGTCCTGGCAGCACCGCGACGGGGCTGCAATGCCACTGTTATGTCACTGTTATGTCACGGTTATGCCACTGTGATGTCACTGTGATGCGACTGTTATGTCACCGTCACATCACAACACACTGCGTAGATTCTTCCCAGTGGCATTTCAAATTTGCTTCATATACTCGCCAGCAGCCAGTGGACAATGGTGACAGGTCGGGAAAACAAGAAACCTGCACGATAACAACGAACATCGTTTCTACTACACCACTTGAATAAACACATTAGTGGGTTAAATTATTTCCTGAAGGCTAGTCGACTAAAAACGTTGAGATAATCCGTTCCTCCCGGTGGCATAAAAAAAATCCTATTTAAATGTAACCTGAATAACGATCGCCACACTGCACATCGCTGCTGCTGCTGCTCCTGCTTGCGCCTTGCACACTGAGCGGCGCCCACACACAGCAGCACTCGGCTGCCCGCCGCACGAGAACCGCTCTCCTCCACATTACGACTCCCTGCATAACCAGTGTCACCCACCCCAGTTACCGTATTTTCCCGCATATAACCCGCGGGGTATACCATTTTTAAATCCTTTATATTAAGTTCACTTGCTTGCGCGCTTGCGACCATGCAAATCCTTCGGTCGTTTTTTAACCCACTTCCCATGATCAAATCGAGCTGACATTTTGCACACAGACTCGTTGTGCGTGACAATTTATTTTCGTGAAAATTTTTTTCCATAACTTTGCACTTTTTAGGAAAAAAAAAATTCTATTTAATTACCAGTTGCTTAATGGTGGCAGGCAATCCATCTGACCCATAGGTGGCAGCCATCTCAAGCCAGAGGACGAGAGGACTCTAGCCGCCACGCATATAAAGGATTTATAGTGAAAAACTTTGGTTTTACGGGTTAATTTTTTACAAACAAAACAAGACCCCCCTGGGTATATGTAGGTGCGGACTATCCCAAAAATATTTTACATGTGTGACATGTCATAACTCTCGATTTAAAGCTTTCGTGACTGCAGGGATTCATCTTCTTGGTTCTTTCGGTAAAGTCATGTAGAAGGGAAATAATAAAATAATAAAAATAAAACATAATAAAATACAATTCTCACGACGTTTCTGCCACAACGCAAGCAGGACGGCTGCTTGCGTTGTGGCCGTAACGTCCTGAGAATTGTATTTTATGATGTTTAATTTTTATTATTTTATTATTTCCCTTCTACGTGACTTTACCGAAAGAACCAAGATGTCATAACTCGTTTAATGTTTTCATGGTAGGACTATCCACTATGTAACACTTACCTTTGACTAAAGCACTGCTGAATAAACCATTCACACTAAAATTGCACATGTTATCACGTTTTCAATGATTCGAATTGTTTGTACAATGAAACGGCAATGTTTTAAGTGGGTGCACTTTGTTTACCATAATACTTTCAGTGGCTGTAGGGGGGTGCGAAAGTTTCAGCTGAGGCTATGGATTGCACAATGGGAAGGGCCCTAACAAGCGTCTACCAGATGCGGAATCATAATTGCCAAGTCCCTTAGGCCGCTGCTATTAGCTGAGCACTACACAGTCGCGACCATGAGCTTTGTTTCAAACTTCCAATGGCTTTGTTGCCAGGAGGTAATGGCGTTACCATAGTGCCGCTATTGTCTGCGAAGTGCGCAATCTACCAGTGCTAAAACTGTACAGGGGTAACTACTGGCCCAGTAGCTGTAATATGATGAGGTCGAATGCTGGTAAGCCTAACAGTACGCTTACTTACTTATCTATCAGTAATGTGTTACTTATTTATTGGATATTTACTTTACTTATTTACTGTTTTAAGTTCACTCGTTTCTGGTTAGTTTCTTTTCTTTGTGCACGGTATGATTTTAATGTTAACAATTGATAGTGGAATGTATTACAAATATAAACTTTGTATTAATATTATGGAATTAAGCTGCGGTAACGACGTTAAAGATATGAATGCATGCGGGGTATATGGAGGTGCGGGCTATCTGAAATTTGTTTTACACAAAACGCTATTTTTGCGGGGTATATGTGTCTGTGAGTTATATGCGTATGCGGGCTATATGCGGGAAAATACGGTACAAGCTCCCTTCATAGCCAGTGTTACCTACCCCAGACACAAGCTTCCTGCACATCAAATCAGTGTTACCTACACCCAGTCATGAAATAGTTTTAAATCCAGTGTAGTGAATGGCCAGTAGCACATTACCTACTTTCCAATACATTGAGCAATCATAAACAGATGAGCCACAGCCGGATGTGTAATGAGTTGCTTATTATCCTGAAGGAGTCATATAATCTATTGTCAGTGGAATGTAAATGTTTTTCATTCATAAACTCTCCCCGATTCACATCCTAACGTTTCATTAAAAACCCACAAACACTGAACACATTGTTAAGGCCCCAAAGAAGCAACAGGAGGAGACTCCCACCACCGCTTCCAGAGCCTCTGTATGTTCGCCTGTGCGGAGCGGATTCTTAACAGGAAGCCTGGGAAAGTTGGTATACAGGAGGTTGTGGGTTCGATCCAAACCCAGGCGCCTGTATATTTGGAGTTTTTATGCCTCTCTCTGCCCGTGGTTGCATGGATTTTTCTCCAAGTCCTCCGTATTTTCCCTCCATATTTATAAACATGCGTTTAGAGTATTTAGTTGCTATAATTTAAGCCACTTCGTTGATGATAAGACACTTCGTCGAGCAATCATTTATGGGCAGGTCGCTTCTCAAAAAGAGCTGTAAAGCTCAGTGGGCCTTACCTGGCAAAAAAAAAATACGGTAAGTTTTATTTATTTAATGTGTGGCTTTTAAAATAACATTTGATGGCAGGAATGCAGCCATGTGGCAACTGTAAACAGATGAAGACAGTGGCGCTGAGCGGATGGGTGGCCCAGTCTTCCGAGCCCTTCACACACCGATCCCACACATTCCCAGCGCCATCTTGGGGCGCTACCAAGGTACAAAATGACTCGACATAATAACACGCTGCAGGTGAAACGGCCACTGCAAGTCCTTTACAAACAGGAATAAAAATAACAAAAACGACGTCCTCAGGTGGTCGCCGTGCATCCTGCCAACTCGGCGACGCGGCGCACGAACTTCACTGAGGGGGGCGACGGTCAGGCCCGGCAGCGACAGTGCTTCCACACCACGGCATCGTCGCAGTAGTGGCGGCGTCGCAGCAGCATTGTCATCGCAGCAGTGGCGGCGCAGCAGTGGCATCATCGTCACAGCAGCAGCAGCGACATCATTGTCGCGGCAGCAGCTGCGTCGTAGTAGCAACGGCAGCGCAGCAGCAGTGTCGTCGCAGCAGAAGCGGCAGCATCGCAGCAGCAGCAGCGACGTCGCAGCAGCAGCAGCGACATCACAGCAGCGGCGGCTCCACCTACGGCAACGTTCACGTCTTCCTGTCTTCTGCGCCGAGGTTCCGGCTCTGTAACAACACTGCATGGCCCTACAGGCAGCAACAACACAGCTTGCCTGCAGCTCGCGTCAAATTAAGTCATAATTACAAATGACTGCAGGGCCAAGTGGTCAGCTAGCTTGTCTCCGAGTTCAGAGTTCACTGGTCTTCCCTCGTCTGCACATTCATGCGGATGCCAACGATCCGGCGCCGTTCTCCATAGCAGTAGACCCTCGTGTACCAGCACCGGGGATAGATTTCACAAAATGTAAGCAGACGCTAAGTTGCTGGGACCATTCTCTAAGCAGTATCTCGGAAGGTGCTCGGCCGGCCTGATCAGCATGAACGCGGTCACGGTGAAGCGACGATGCCGCGCCACCTCAGCAGTGGTGGGGGACGAGACCGTGCCGCACGCAGACGCCGAAGCTCAGCAGGGTTCACACGTAGATGCTCTCGGGGTTGAAGCTGGAGAGCAGTGAAGTGTGGAGCACGTGGGGGGCGGTCGGGACGAGCCGGGGCTCGCGGGACACCGAGCCTGCAGAAAGGAAATGGCACGATCGCATGGAATGTTGAAAATCGCGCGGCACGGAAGGTCACAAAACGTGCAACGGAGCGAGGCACGTGGGGGCACGAGGACACGAGGACGTGGGACGAGGCCACGAGGCCACGAGGCCACGAGGTCACGAGGTCATGAGGTCACGAGGATACCTGCATGAGGATATACGACATGAGGACAGACCACTCGGATGAAAGATTATCACGGTTGGCTATGTATGGTGCGAAAGAAGTTCAACATACATACACCAATGTGGATCACACAAGGGCAGCACGTGGGGATGGAGACTCGTGGCACACATGGACCCGTTGGCCACCCAGTGGACTTGTGCACCACCTCACTTCGCTTGGATGTGGAGATCAGCCACGAGTGGCTCAAACCTGACGTTGAATGCAGAATCTCACAGTGTCAGCTCAGTGCTCTGATGGACACATTACGAGCCCCTTGAGAGGCACCTGTCCCTCTCCACTCAGTGCCCTGAACAACATTTGGCATTTGACGGTAATACTGCACCTATCACGCCACGAGCCTGTAACGCCGAGTGCTTGTTACACAGTGTACCTCTAATTCTGCACACCTGTGATCACCCGGGGGTGGGGGTTGATGAAACTCACAAAAATGGGATTCATACGTGGAACAGCAACCTGCAGGTGAGATGCCCGTGGAAGGCAGTACAGGAAGTAGGTTTACATCTATGCAGTGTTTTGAATTCCCCTCCTATATGCTCATCTTTTCTCTAGGAACCCCCCGTTCCCTCCGGCACACGGGAACTTTAACCCAAACATCCTAGGACCCGAGCCCCCACCCTCCCGCTACTCACCGGCATCGACCGCCACCGCCGTCGCGTCATCAGGTGGCTCGGAGAGCACGGTGACACGGCTGCCCGTCTGCGCAATGAACTGCTGTAAGTGCAGCTGGCGCAGCTCGCGGCCCAGGCGCTCCGCCTCGCCCTCCTTATCCTGGCAACGAGAGCAGCAGCGGCACAAACACAGCGCTCTCAACACCAACAACGCCACTGCCACCACCGCCACCACCGCCTCACAGGGGAGGTGGCCGGTCACCTTGCAACATCACAGGGCCAGCTGATGCCACCGGGGGTCCTCTCTCACATGCGCCGAGATGAGACGCGACGCAAAGCGCCACGGCATGTGCAAAAGGGCGGCTGTATCAAACTCATACTCGTCATCACGGAGACGGGGGCAGCGTCCCAGGTGGCGACTCCTACCCTGGCAAGGAGCAGAGAGGCCACCTCCCTCTATCCATCATAGAGCCCGCAGTGGGATGCTCTGCTATACGTGCTGCTGTACATGTTTGTATAGCAGCAGTGAAATGCTTAAACGTTGGCCAATGTTCTTTGGGTCTTTCGGTTAAGTCACGTAGATAGGTTCAAAATCTATATAAAAAAAAGTCTAAAATTGTATGTGGGTTTGTGTGTGGTCGTGCGCTTGGCTCTCCAACGGTGGGGTTTATGTAAAAAAAAAAATTAACAAGGTACCACGCCGTAAGCCCCGCGGTGAGCAAGCGCTATTCCTTTTTCACATCCGTCAACTTTAAATGAGTTTAATTAGCGATTTAGTGCGATTTTTGTGCACTTCCATTTTATTTATTTATTATGCGTGCACGACCATACCAACTCATGTGCCTTTGGTGGGGGGGGAACGGCACATGCGAAGTCGGACTCCTTCGGTGGGAGTGAGGGGGACGTTTTATTTCGTGTTAAAAATGCTATAAAAAAACACCAAACGCTGACGTAAATTCTTCACTGTGTGATGTCCCCCCCACCCCGATGCGTGCAGTTACTAATATATACAGTCGCTAGATGCTAGCACTATAGGCAGTAAACTTGTTATTTATTTATTTATGATGCGTTTACGACCATACCAACTCGCACGCCTTCGGTGGAAGTGAGGGGGATATTTTCTTTCGCGTAAAAAATGCTCTAAAAATACACTAAACTCTCAGGTAACTTCTTCCCTGTGTGATGTCCCCCCCATCCCGATGCGTGCAGTTATTACTACTATACATTCGCTAGATGCTACCACTATAGGCCGTATATATTACTGGAGAGCGGACGGGGAGATCGTGGCTGGGGGGGGGGGGGTCAGGGGTAGCAGCCCAGCTCCAGCCTGCCAAGGTGCCACCTCGGCCGGCTGGATAATCTAGGTGAGGCCGGAGGCTCTGCACGGGACCACGCCTCACCACGCCACTCTGGTGAGTACTTTGTGCTATAGAGTCGATATATACTGATATAGTCAGCATCTACTACTGTAGTGATAGCAGGTACCACCACAGTCAGTATGCACTGCTGTAATCATAGCAGGTACCACCACAGTCGGTATGCACTGCTGTAATCATAGCAGGTACCACCACAGTATCCATTGCTGCAGTGAAACCAGGTACCAACACAGTATGCATTGCTGTAATCATAGCAGGTACCACCACAGTATGCAATGCTGTAATCATAGCAGATACCACCACAGTCAGCACGCACTGCTGTTAGATTTTTAAGAGTAGTTTTTAAATATGTTTAAGACCCGGGCAACGCCGGGTACTTCCCGCTAGTAATAAAATAAAATAAAACTTCGACGTTTCGATCACAACACAAGCGATCGTCATCCCTTTGGGTAAAATTGGCCAATGGTACCCAAAGGGAATTCTGTAGGTGGGCCGTGAACACGCTAAAACAATTTATACCAAGCACAGGGCACAGGACCAACCAGGGACCGCGGGATTCCCACACGGATCCTGCAAGGAAATTGCAGGATCCGCGTGGTGAACTTTTAACAGACGGCGATGGCGACCGAAGCGCCCGTCCCCTGCAAGAGTCCGAGGGCCAGCAGGGGGCGCCCTGACAGCGAGGAGGTGCCTCTCTCCATTGCCACGCTCCTCAGGATGGCTGCGAGCGACCCATGCCCCTCCCTGCTGCCGGCACGGCGCCCAAACCAACTCGGCTATGGCCCAGCTCCTTGGGGGCACGAATGCAGGTCAATTCTTGGAGCAATCGCATTGTTCTTAAAGCGTTGTAACCCAGTACTCATGTTTACAGATGTGTACCACGCTGTGCAATAAAGAAAGAGCAGGTGAAATCATCAGCCCTGGCAGCCTGATGATGCCAGGGAACCACTGACATCATCGCTCTTGCCAGCAGCAGGCAGCTGTGCGTGTTCTCGACAGAGAGGCTCTCAGCGTGCCAGACAGTTACATGTGGATAACCTCGCAGTCGGTCCTGCATCAAATACGTGAACGGTGTTGTTAGTTATGGGCTACGACCACAGTGAAATTTAAAAAGTACGGCACTGGCCGAGAGGCAGATGAGATCCCAGACATCAGTGCTGGTAGTGCACGGGAACATCGTACTCACACGCAAGCTTCGTGCAGCCTCCTCAAGCGAGCAGTGCACCACCACGAGGCTTCCCTCGAGTGAGCGGGCCTCGCGCTCCACCTCCGCCAGGCGCGCCCTCAGGTCCGCGGCTCCGCGCTCGGCCCCGCGCTGCTGCACGGCCGCCACCTCGGCTTCGAGGCGGCGTGCCTCCTCGGTGCGTCGCCGTGCGGCCTCGCCGGCGGTCCGCGCGCGCTCCCTCGCATCGCTCAGTCGCTGGGCCAGCTCCGCCTCGCGCTCCGCCTCCCGCCGCCACTCTGCCTCCAGCGCCGCCTCCTCCCGCTCGTTACGAGCAATCTCCGCCTCCAACTGCGCCGCCTCCTTGGCTATCGCCGCCACGGCGCCGCCGTCCTCTCCCCCATCATCGTCATCGTCGTCGTCTTCGTCGTCGTCTTCATCGTCGGCGCCGCCGCTCCGTGAGTCACACTCCTCCCAGCGCCGCAGCTCCGCGTCCGACGCGTCGACGCGTATCTCGACATCACGCAGGCGCTCGTTCTGCAGCCGCACGAGCCGCTTCAGCTCGTCAGGCCGCGCCGGCGGCACGGGTGCCCCGGGGCCGCCCGCCGGCTCCCCATGGCCTCGCCCACCGCTCGCCTTCTCCAGCAGCTTGCGGATGCCTGGCGTGAATGTGAGCGACTTGCGCATCACCTCCCGACGCCGAAGCGAATCCGAGTCAGGCTCCGGTGCGACCACGGTGGCCCTGGCACCAGCTTCGGCGGGACGCTGCCTTCCCTGATGGGGCAGGCTTTGGTGCGGGAAGGCGCGGCCAGGCCCCGGGTCCTGCTCACGGCCGGGCCCCGTGCGGCGCAGTAGCAGCTGCACGTCGGCCGAGTGTTGCCCCCACGCGGCCAGCGCCGCTGCCAGGCTCTCGCCCGGGCACAGGTGGCGTTCCGTGTCGCGCCATCGCTCGATGAGCGTGTAACGCCCCGTGCGTCCTGCGACAGCCAGGGGCACAAGCTACGGGTTACAGCTGCGGCTAGAGATGATGACGTCACTCACGATGTTATTAGGTGAAAGAACAATGATGGAGTGGAGGTGCAGTGGTTAGCATGCTGCGCTAGGACCCTGGCAAATTCTGGAACACACTTGAATTAGTAGCGAGTAATATCTGAACCAGACCTGCCCTCTCACTCCTTCGCTAGCCCGCACTGACCAACATGGATATTGTCTTGTCAAAAAGAACACCACGGTCTTGGAAGGCCTTTATTGGTGATTTGAGAATGGATGGAACTTATTTTTCTATTTTATAACGCCACTGTACTTTTTAGGTGCGTGAGCCAACACTGGGCGGTGCTAAGTCACGAGGCCAGGGGGCCGCTCACACCGAGTTCCAACTGTACACAATGGTTGGACTCGTCCCCCCCTCATCACTCGGACCGAATCCACAGGTACTACACGCACTCGAGATCTCAATGCACACACTCGCGTTGTCTTACCGAGCGCTTGAGCGAGGGCAATGACGACATCGTGGCAGGTGGTCGCGTCTGTGACACCGCACACCACCCGCGGTACCCCCTCCACCCACACCTTCAGCTCCATCGGGCGGCCTTGCCTCGCTCACGCGTGACTCGCTCTCTCGCTCTCTCGCTCTCTCTCCCTGCACTCACGGGGCCCTCAGTCCGAATGGTCCCCAGCGACCCGTGCTGGCTACGAGAACTTTGCAGAAAGCCACCCCCTCGCTCGTCTGGTTGTCGATGGCCCAAGGGTGGCAGAAGAGCAGCGGGACACAGAGAAAGCTTGTGGGACAAGGGGCCGGGTAGCGGCACGGCGATCGCTGGTAAGCCCAAGAGTCACCGTCACCGCTCTCCTGGGTCTCGTCTGGAAAGACGTGAGGTGGAGCGACACACACACACGTGCACACACACGCACACACAACGTACGCACGCAATGCACAGATCCCGCATTAGAGGCTTCATTCACAAAATTCCATTCCACGCAACGGGGCTCAGGAACAAAGCGGTAGCGAGCAGTGGGGAGCACACACATGGACAGAGATGCAGACAAGTGCTGCCTCTCGGCATTAACGTTAATGGTTAAATTATTTTTAGGTCCATCAGCCTGTGGGCCTTGGGGACCCAAGCCTGTAGACAGCTGCGCACCACCAACACCGTTGGGCCTGTTCAGCACCAACAAGCAACGCTGCTGTGCAAAAGTATGGGTAATCTAGGAGACGAGTTTGTGTTTATCACACAGCTAGGGTGTGGTGACTGCAGGCATCTGTCAGTCATATCCTCTATGTCCACCAGATGAGACCCAGAGACTGCAAGTCCCTATTTCGAAGCAGTCAGTGGCTCTGGATGAAGAGGAAAGACCCCAGCTGGGACTCAAAATGAGAGGGCCAGGAGGTATGCAGTCAACAATGCTTGACTCAGGGAGGAGGACGCCCCTACCATGCATAGTCCCATGGAATGTTGGCTATCAACAACAAGGCAACTCCTATGACTAATTGGGAATGGGACGCAAGCGTAGGATTGATCACCCTGTCACTGGCCGCCTTTGGGGAGGGTGTATAGTATGAAAGGCCGAAACACCCTAGGAACCAAAGGTTCACTACTGACGATGCGCTCCCCAAATTTCACCAGGGTCACTGTTCATGAACTCTTGGAAGTGCTTGCACAAAGGATAGTAACATCTCATCCTGTGTTCTTGGAATCTGGTTTACAGGTCAATACAAGACAAATACATTTGCAAAAAAAGAATTGAAATATTGGAAATCTTTAAACGCAAACCAAACGAATGAACAGATAATAAAAAGGATACGAACTGGATGAGGTACAAAAATTATCAAGGGCATTGGCACTCAACATTTGCAAGAAATTAATTAAATTATTGAGAGGTAATGGAGGTTAACTCTAAAAGAAATCTCAAAGTGTGTTCCATTTCAGGTCAAGGAACAGTCTCCAAATCTATTGTTGACTCCCGAGTGCAACAATGCAAATGCTGTGGTGTTGTAAGCTGTGAGGGTTTAAATACAGTGCGAGCAAAGTGGATAAAATGAACGCCAGAACAAGTAAGCACTTTGCAGTCAAACTCTGACCACTGCGTGTCCCTCTGTATTGATGGTGGAAGGCAGACATTGTTGGAATAGTTGTGCTGATGATGAACAGAGACTCATTCCTAACAACACTAAGCCAAGAGAAGATTGGGTCGAGACTATTTACCACTGTGCCTGTGGATTTACAAATCACCTCTCCATAACCAATCATAGGCAAGTCGGTTTATGCGATGCGCTGTAGAGAAAGAGATACGATTAATTTCTCAAAATGATTGCGAACTTGACCACAAACTCCAAACTGGAGACCAAGCCACGAGCGCACTGTGCGCCGGTGGAGACAGATGCTCGCTGGGGACTTGTTTAAACCAGGAATCAGTTTCCTTCAGTGCAGAGTGAGGCTGGCCCTGGCCGGGGCGCGCACAGCCACACATCTGGTTCCATCCGACCTCCGTTCGCCAACTCCTGTAACCGAGTGCCTTCATTTAAACTGGAACATTGCACGCTGCTGCAAACTGCGTGCAATCCGAATATTGCTCACGTGGCCGTTGAAAAGTTATCTCTCTCTCCCTGTTCAGGCTCCCCCTGGAAGATTTTTGCTGATCTCTACTACACAAGCCATAAACACCCCTCTCCTGCCCCCCTGGATACCACACTGGGTGGTAGTGTCCTCTTCTTGCTCTAAGTTGCTCCTGCCGATCACCATCAGGGTTCCTTCACTTTTAAAGTTAATTAGTAACGAGGAGTCTGGCGGCTGGGGAGTCGTTCAATTCAAGGCATTTACTCGCTCCGTCTCCATCGTCTACGTGCGGTGCCTCTTTGATCTACGGTAGCACACAGACACTCGCAGATCACAGCTCCTGTATCATTCAGTCAACCGCACGGCACGACCTGGGTGTTATAATCCACCAAATGTCGGCTGCTTTTTCATGTTTTAAATAATGTCAAAAGTAAACATGTGATTGAGATTATGCGAGAAATCCCACGTTATTAGGTTTTATTTTGCGACAGCCTGTGCCAACTTTGCGCGAAGCAGAGTGGCCCCACTGGGCGGTGTTCCATTTTTCCCCCAGTTGGGGACTCCAACTCATGATCCAGGTTCACAGCTGAAAGCTTAGCTGACAGTCTGCTGCTGCCGCTGCCACCAAGCCACTGAGCTCCGGTGACCTCTGCAGACCTCGTGGATGTTGCCAGCAGTGGCGAGGACCGGACCTCTCCCGGTGCCCTGGGGCTCAGAGACGAGTGGCGACCGTGGGCGACTGCGCTTGCCACCATAGCAACAGCACAGATGTCCCCGTACGGCGCCTGGCGACCTCTTGGCAGCAAACAAAGCCCAAGCGTGGCAAGGGGGTCCCCCATTGGTCGAGGGAAAGCCACCGGGTAATTAAAGTCCCGGTGGTAAATGCTCAGTATTACAGAAGAACGTTAGACGTTAACTCCCCTCGTCTGCTTTGCAGGAGGTCGTGGGTTGATCCTGACCCTGACGCCTGTATATTTTAAGTTTGCATGTCTCTCTTCCCGTGGTCGTGTGGATTTTTCTCCGGGTCTTCCGGTTTTTCCCTCCACATTTAAAAACATGCGTTTAGAGTATTTGGTTGCTATAATTTCCACACGATAAGCCACTTCGTTGAGCTATCATTTGTGGCCAGGCCGCTTCTGAAAAAGAGTAGCTAAGTGGGCCTTATCTGGTTAAATAAAAATAGTACTAAAATAGTTGGCCCCCCTCCATTCAGCCGTTCAAACATCATTTGTGTTTTGGCCAAAGGTTTCCAACATCAGGTAGTTTCGTATTCAGTGAAAAATATCCATAATTCCCAATCGCACAGGCACAGGTTGGGATCAGCTTCAGGGCTTACATCTCGATGCAAGGTCCACACACGCCCCCTCCTAAGCGGCACAACAAATTGCAGTCTCCTCACTCCGAATCTAAAAGTAGTTTCCAATTCTCAAATAATGAAACCCTTTACAATCACTGGCAGGAATACTCCAGCTACTGCTGGATGAAAAGCTCTACAAGTTGTTGGCATTTCTCATTGCCTTGTGATGGAACAGAATCAGAAACTGTATTTATACCAGAGAAATCCGATGAGCTCTAAAGCTCTTTTTCACAGACGTCCAGTAGGGACGGATCATGAAGTTAAAACAACAAACAATACAACAACACGAAAGGAGTGCAAAGTATAGGAAATGTAAGCAAGTCAATACAAAAAACAAGTATATAAGTACAAATGGTACAAAGACAAATTCCTGCCGATATTTTAACACTAAATTCAAGCTTTGGCAAGGAAGAAAAACAACAATAACATTCCCAGAGCACACCAAGACAGCACACATTCCCTCAATAAAAATGCACGTGAACATTGAACTATCAATACACGTGTGGTAAACAATCCATCTGTCTCCTGTACGCAAGCCAATCTCATCGCTCCACCTCCACGGTGGCGTCCCTATCTCTCTCCCTGTGGTCGCCTAGATTTTTTCCTCCGGGTCTTCCGGTTGTTCCCTCCACATTTATAATCAACATGCATCTATATAATTTAGATTATTTTGCTGCTAGAAATTTCAACATGATAAGCCACTTTGTTGAGTTATCAATTGTGGCCAGGTCGTTGAAAAAGAAGCTAATAGCTCAGTGGGCCTTACCTGCCAAGTAAAACAAATATTTTCTTTGAATGTATTTTTGAAATGATTTGTTTACCTTTCCTATACTTTGCACTCCTATCGTGTTTTTGTATCATTTGGTGTTGTAACGTTCTGATGCGCCCCTACTGGACATGTATGAAAAGAGTTTTAAAGCTCATCGGATTCCTCCAGTACAAATATATATTCTGATTCTGATTGTGCATTCCCCAACCTTTGGCCGTTTTGCCGTCAGCGTCGAGTGTCGCGCGTCACCCCTCTCACTTCCCTGAGACATCTTTAGAATGTCTATATAACGTCTTTAAAACGTCTCTCATTTGCATTTGTCCTGAGTCACGTTCCTTTTCCGGCTTCGGTGCCTTTTCAGACATGCACATCTCCTTCACGCACTTTTCAGCTGCAGACGAATGCTCCAAATATGGACGTAATTCATGAACCAGTAACAACATGGGACAGCTCACATGGGAACTTGCCGTGTGTGTTTGCAAAGACATGGATAGACGATTGTGTGCACATGAATGAGTTGTGCATTTATGGTGTACCAGTGACGTGTAGGGCGATGGAGGAGTGCAATTCTGTTGGGAGGCGCGCCTGTGTGGCGGAGTGGAGTTGAACTCTCTGTGATTGCGGTGCCCTCACCATGTGACGCCGTGTGACACCGTGTGTGTGTGTGACGCCGTGTGTGTGTGACGTCGTGTGTGTGTGACACCGTGTGTGTGTGACGCCGTGTGTGTGAGTGACGCCGTGTGTGTGTGACGCCGTGTGTGTGTGGTGCTCAACCGCCATCGGCCCCATATCCTGCCGGCCAAAATAGATGCTCACTAACAGCATTCCTCAACACCAGCAGTGGGTGCGTGTGTGACCCATGTGTTTGTGACCCGTGTGTGTGTGCCCCCCCATGTGTGTGTCCCGTGTGTGTGTGTCCCGTGTGTGTGTGCCCGCTGTGTGTGTGTCCCGTGTGTGTGTGTCCCGTTTGTGTGTGTATGTCCCGTGTATGTGTGCCCGCTGTGTGTGTGTACCCCATGTGTGCTTCCCGTGTGTGTGTGTGCCCTATGAGCTTCCCGTTTGTGTGTATGTCCCCCGTGTGTGTGTACATGTGCACCGTGTGTGTGACGTAGGAGG